AAAGTCTTTAAATGAACCTTCTTTTGTCTGATTTAAACTCTGGATCAGTTTCCTGAGCTGTTTTAGTTCTTGTGCTATAATTGACAATTTAAAATCTTCCCTTTTAATCTCACTTTTATTTTGTCTTTGATTCTGTTAATGTCGCTCTAATGATCTTACTTACTTTTACCTCTGGTGTCTTATTGTTTTTACTTCATCTTTATCTTTTTATCCGTATACTCGTGTTTTTCTTCAGCACGATGTTAAATAAATCTCACTGAGTAAGAACATTTAACTGCTGCAGTCTGTTCAGTTATTTTTATCTGGTAGTTTAGTGGTTCCCAACCTCCGGGTCAAGACCTCTGAAGGGTCACAGGTCGTGAGATGTGTAAAACCTCTAACGACTCACATGAGAGGTGATCAGACGCTGCTTCTTTCAGTGACGAATACGTTTTAATTCATACAGAAGTTAATATTTTGTAAACTGTTATCATACAAGACGAGAACACGGTTTATCAAAATGAAGATGATTAAATTACTCAGTTCAGGGGCCAATCACATTTAAGCTTGTGCCAGTGCCCCCCTTGGCCCCACCCTTTGGATCAGCCCCTGCCTGCTGCCCACCCTGAAACTACACAAACTATAGTCACTTTATTTATATCTTGTTTATTTTATCAAACGTCACATAACTTTATTTAGTTTTATTGTGTGGTCAGTATTGACCCCTGACACTGTATGGCTTTTAACTTTATCTAACTTTCTTCATTTAATTTAACTTTATATTATAAACCTCTGACGTGTGTCTGAGGTCACGTGATGTTCAGTTCAGCAGCTGATCGAGAAAGAAACGAACTTAATTTACATTTTATTTTATTTTTAATTTTTCACCTTTAATAAAACATCTGATTTCAGCACCGGAGCTGTCCGCGTGAGGAGAGGATGCTGAGACCTCCCTCCCTCCCTCTCTCTCCATCTCTCTCTCTCTCCCCCTCCTCTTCTCTCTCTCTCTCTACTCCCCCCTCTCTCGTTCTCACTCTCTCTCTCCCCCCTCCCTCTACTCTCACTCTCTCTCTCCCCCTCCCTCTACTCTCTCTCTCTCCCTGCCTCGCTCCTCTCCTCCTCCACACGCACAAAACGCTCTGTCATGGCGTCTTCCAACCATGTTACCCCCACCAACTGTAGCTGGTGGCCCATCTCAGCCATGGACGAGGACGGTAAAATCACAGACGGGGAGGAGAGCGAGGAACCGACGGCAGAGCCCAAACCCTTCAGTAAAGACAGGCTGGTTCTTTACCACTGGACGCAGTCGTTCGCCTCCCAGAAGGTAATAAAACACAGATGGCAGAGGATGAAAATGGAGGAGGCGTCTCTTTGCATGTGCAGCTCCATGTTTGTTTTCTCCATCATGTCCAGACCCTGTTGTTTTTTTGTGCATGTGTGTATGTGTGCATGTGTGCATGTGTATCCCTGCACCGGAATATGAACGTGATCCTGCAGCTGCAGCTGTGTGAGCTGCAGATCTGAGCTGCAGCAGCATCGAGGCTCATTTCCTCGACACAAAACCGGGATTTCTCTCCAATTCGGCAGCGCATTGATAATCAGCCTCTGTGTCCCTGACACGGAGAAGCTGTGTCCTCTCCCTGCTGCTGGAGGAGCCTTCAGCCCGTGTCCTCCGACACATGACATCCTAAATAATTGATTAAAAACGATGTGCAAAACAAACCAAAGGCCACCTTCCCCCCATCTGCAGCAGAATCACCTGGCAGACACTAACCTATATATGCCTCTGCTGTGAAATAACACGGAAGCTCAGCTGTGGCCGGTTAAAACTCTTCACACTGAAAATGCAGCTTCATCACGAACATCTTGTGTTTGAATGTGAAAAACATCAAGTCACTGCTTTTACACTCAAACTTCAGTTCACTGGGAGTGAACACAATATTCTCTCCGTCCCAAACTGAAGCTGTGTGAGTCTCAAAGACTTTGTATGATGGAGGAGACCCCCCCCCCCCCAAGTCCAATAGAAAGAGAGCAGAGTCCTGCAGCCTGAGGTCGTTCTGTTCGTCTGACCCTGATCCTGACACCTTACTGTTGATTTAACTGTTTCACACTGAATTACAGGGAAACCTCCTCTGTGGAGAAAGTGAAATAAGAAGATACGAAAAGCAAAAAAAACCCAACAGAGAAATGTTTTTTCAGGTGTTAGCGGTGGAGCTAACTTAGATTCAACTTCGATTTTGAGCTAAAAGTTTAAGTTTCCTGTTTTGTTTCAGTGGAGAAACTAATTCTATCACATCTGTGTCATCAGCAGTTTCATCTCTAGAGTTCAAGTTGAAAAATCTCACATTGTTAAAGAAAGCGACAAAACATTTAATAAGTTCTTCTCCGACTCACGTTCTTCCTCCACGTGTCGTGATAACCCGTCCTGTAGTTTTTCAATTATCCTGTTAACCAGCATGTGTTTAACATTCTTTAGAATAAAGGATGAGATGGTGAATATCTCTTGTACGTCTGAAGGTTTAAGTATAAACTAGCAGGTGTTAGCAGGTGTTAGCAGGTGTTAGCGGCCACCAGAGGATGTTAGCGACATAACCTCAGTTGTGCACGTCAGCGTCATCACGTGTTTAGGCCGAACTCGAGTGTACGCCGAGGACGAAGGTCAATCCGGAGCGATGGAGTGTTTTAAAGCTCATTATTCTCTCCGTCCATCAACAGCCTTTAGTTAAAGCGACGTCTCAGGCTGCTGCGTCAGTGATGAGGCTTGTTGGGCGGCTCACAGTCAGAGCGGCCGTCACTCAGCTGAAGATACTGTGGTCATCTCCGCCACGATCGCGTGAACGGACCATCGGGCAACAATACACACACAGCGATCCTGTTTGTGTGTATTTGTACAATGGTGTGTGACATTTGTTGTCCTGCGAGCTGATGCGTGCTTTAAATGGCGTTTTGGGCGGGGGCGGCTTTCAGGAGATTAAGAGGCCAAGCACTAGTTTCGTCCACTGCACCAGAACTCTGCTGCATATTTTTGGGACTTGACAGAACTCAAACGCTCACGATGTGATTGGTCAAAATCTCTCTGCAGCACCATGAAGGGTTCGTGTTATATTTAGTCGGTTGTTCGTGACTTGCAAAACACTTGTTCCTCCTCTGAAAAGAGACGTTTCTAACGTGAGACACTGAGCGAAGCAGAAAGCGACACGATGGTCGCCAGACGGTCGGGGGATCGTTGACAGGTCTTTGTTTGCATCAGCAACTTCAGGAGGAAAGATGATATTGAACTTCTCCTGCACAGCACTTCCTCCCTCTCCTCCGTGTTTACAGTCCTGCCACCGAAGCTCTCGTGGGCTGAAATGGGGACGTACGTTCATTTAGCTCATGAGAGATGCATCGTAAACAGACGCGATAAAGACAGGGACAGACGGCCCGCGGCGACGGCACATGTAGAGGCCACAGCGCCAGATCAATGCAGCACTGGCAGCGTGGAGGCCTGCGGAGATTTACACCTTCAATCTGCCGCCTGTGAGAGAGAAACACTTTGTCGTGATGCCGGCATGTGTGAGGAATTATCCTCACGTTGTTTTCAACGTCAGGCTGCACCAACAACCAGAGAAGGAAGATGTACTTTAATAAATGTACCAAAACAACCAAGTACATAAATCATATTTATTTACTGCAGAGTCGGGAGTACTCTGATTACTTCAGGTACAGAAGTATTAATTGTATTTGAAGTATTAAAAGTAATGATTCTGCCGCTGCAGAAGTGGTTTGTATAGAAATGTTATAACGTAAAGAGGGAAAACCAGGTCGGTATTGAAATGTTTCATTCTGACATCAGAAGGACCCGTCCCTCTCAGCGTCCAGCAGGAAATGGTGAAGTACACTGCAGAAGAAAGTCCTTCATGGTGTCCTGCGCACTCTGAGGACGTCAGTCCTCCTCAGCAGATGGAGACGACCCCTACGGGACACGTGTCTGTGTTGGTGGATCAGTCCAGTTTGTTGTTGAGGTGAACGCTCTGTTGTCCCGGTGATGGCGTTGATGTGGAGGTGATTCAGTTCACACCGGTGGAGTCACCGAGTGTTTCTGGAATTATGAGATAGATGCTGTGAAGTTAAATCTATAAAATACATTATATTTCAATGATCTGTCAGTTTGTGTGAAGTCTGAACTACGGCTGTCAGATGCAGTGGAGTTAAGTTGCATAAATTGGAAATACTCGAGTATAATTACCTCAATAATTAATGACAGTACTTGTATATTTTCTATTGCTTGTATATTTTACGTTTCTTTTCCCCTGTTAATGTTTTTCTGGTGGTTTTCCTCTTGTTGAGGTTTAAGATCTGAGATGTGATAAAATAAAATGTGATTCGATATTTTACTCTCGTGCAGATCCGCGCTGAGTTACTGAACATTATGAAGTGAGTGTTTCTGTTTCTCTCGGGCAGCTGAACTTACTCGGCATCATTACCGAGCAGTGACTAATATCATTACATAACAAACGGTGACTCTGCTGTTGTGGACGACCCTGAAGGACACCCCCCCCCCCCCCCCCCCCGAGAAAAACAACCTGACATACTTTCACGCAGACGTTCTTTAATGTGGAACAACTTTGATGCTGATTAAGATATAAACAGCTTTTGTCTTCTTCGACGTCGCTGCTGCGTCCGTAGGTTTTTTTTCTCGTTGCTGCCGTCCGTCGCCGTGGTCCTGCTGTAATCACTGTGTCACTAAATCATTCATTACACCACGTCTGGGCATATTCTGCTAAACGCCCATTTTGCTGCTCTGGCTAAGCAGCCAAATGTGGAGCTTTATACCCCAAGTGTCGTCTCCTTTCATTAATCTTGTTCCCAGTAATAGCTCTCCATGGACCTCGGCTTATCGTTGATCCAACGGATCCTGAATATCCTCGTTTTTTTGCTCAAACATTAACACACTTAAAAAAAGAACCTCTTAAGTTTGTGCGACCATACAAACAAGTCGGCTCAGGCTGTTCCCATGTGTTGTTCTGTGCCTGCATTCTTGTCTGAATCCTTCTGAGAGAAAACTAACTCAGCTCGACCAGAGTTTGTTATCTTGTCCTTTACGTCAGTACAGTGTAAGTAATATTTATCAACCTGACCCAAACACAAATATCATTTCAAGAACATAACGTACACTGGGAACAGGTAATCGTCAGAAGGATTCTGGCTGTGACCCGTCCTCGGCTTCTCTGTCGATCAACAACCTTTAGAGTTTGAGTGTGCACAAACCTTTCTTTTGCTTTTTATCACTCCCCAGTTTTATTTCCCGGAGCAAAGTGAAAGTAAACTCCAGCTTCCAAACGTGTCATCCTGCTCGTACGACCCCGTCACTGCTGCGAAAAAAGAAAAAGCTAAACATGTGCTCACGGTTGCAGGTTCGTCTCGTCATCGGTGAGAAGGGCCTGATCTGCGAGGAGAGGGACGTGAGCTTGCCGCTGCAGGAGCACAAGGAGCCGTGGTTCATGAGGCTGAACCTGGGCGAGGAGGTGCCCGTCTTCCTCCACGGCGACACCATCATCAGCGACTACAACCAGATCATAGATTACCTGGAGAAAAACTTTGTGGGAGGTAACGTTACAGTGATAATGTTGCGTCTGTTTTGTCCTCTTCACCTGAGAACGTGACGGTTGTGACGCCGCCACTCAAAGCACAGAAAGATTAAAGCGACACTCGGCTAAACTACGGCGCCCCCTACAGGCGGGGTGCGTTATCCACCGTTGTAAAAATGAGTTCTCTTCTCGCACATGTAGCAGTGAGATGTTGTTGTTGTGAACAGGACGGAATAACACGGTTTGACGCAGAGACCTTTATTTTGAAATATGCAGATCGTAACTTCGGCTGTTATGTTTATTTTTTTCATCACAACTGTTGAAATCTTGTTCGTGTGTTCTTCTACAGTTCTGTAAACAGGCAGGTCGGGCTTTATATTAAGGGAACATGTCTAAAGGGGGTAAAATACTCAAAGGGATTATTTTCAGAAGGGAAGCGGGCGGTTTCCCGCGCTTCCGTCAAGTTCCTCTTTGCTTCGGACTTTCCTCGGGAAGGTTTGCGTTTTCTTTGCTTTCGCTATCCTTGGGTTTTAAATGTGACGTTAAGTTACTGAAGCTGATTTGTGACGTTGTTGTAGAGATGCTAAGTTTCCGAGTAGTTTACTGCTTTTGAGTAGTAATGTTACTCGTGCCACACACACACAGCTGTACACGTGCAGCCGGAGACGAAAGAAAGAACCATGAGTCTGACGAGGTTTCGCATTCACTGCAGCATAGACGCTAACAAGCATAATGCATCAACTCACCCGGAAATGTTTCTGATGATTAACTAGCGTCTCGACAACTTCACGTAAACAAAGTCAAGCAGAACAAGAACAAGCTGAAGTTCTGACTTTATGTCAAACAACAATGCAGGTGATGTCTTGTGTCTTAGTGAATGTTGGACATGTCTGTTAGTTGGACTTTTGGGATCTTGATGAAAAAAAAATCCTGTTTTTCACTTGACGTGATATTTATGAGTTTGTGCAATGTGGTCTTTCTGGACTGATCGGGTCCTCGAGGGATTTCAGGTCCTGGTACGGTCGCGGTTGTTTGGCCTTCAACTGGAAACCATTGAAGGCAACGTGTTGTTCCTGTGCAGCGTGTGTCGGAGTCTCTGCACCAATCTCACCGCCACAAACTCCTCTGATCAAATCAGACAAAGTTGGAAATGATCCCTCGGGTGAAATTTGTGGCAAAATGAGACACAAACACGACAGAGAGAGAGAATTTACCAAGTGTTTTGTACTAAGACACAGAACACAGAGGCAGTGAGTGAATAACAACAGACGCTAACGTGGCGTCATGTGTGTTTCAGTGTTTACTGTGGGTGTCGTGTCCTCTCGTAACGTCACGTGAGACATTGTAGTGTTACATAACGTCCTGGGAGCCTCACATCACAAATGGCCTGAGGGACGCTGGACGGTGTCGGAGATTTCCCTCCTCTCAGGTTAGTTAGTGTTCAGTCGTTCAGAGCAGCGATGCCTGAAAGTGTCGGAGAAGATGTGGTTCACTGCTCACGGTAATAAAAGTCTGGAAGGCCCAGATCGTCCCTGGTGTCTGACGTCTTCTTCTCATTTCAGCCCAGTGATGCTGCTCTGGAAAATAAAACCGTTCAGTACTTCCCAGAGTTCTCTGTAATAGCGTTTTTTGTTTGTTCAATGTTTGACCTCGTGCTTTCAGGCTGGAGTGGGAGGGCTGAGACACAGACGAGCTTCTCCCTCCCTGCATGTAAGTCCCTGCTGGGTGTTGCCATTGAGAGCTGCAGCCTGGAAACTGCAGATGACAGTTATAACTGTCTCGTTATAACTGAACGTGCAGCCCTGCCTCCGACAGAGTCCCGGGTTGTTGTTCCGATGGGTTTGGCCTTAATCCGCTGACGTGACATTTCCACCACTGTGCTGCAGCGGCCCACCTACAGGACCACTGCTTGCTTGGCATGCACGGGTCAGCAGGACGGCCGCAGGACTGATGACTCAGCTTTCTGGAGCCATCAAACGGTTTAAGATGAGTTTTTTTCAAGATTCTCCGGATGAAATGAGACAGTTCACTCGTGCATGAGCAGAATATCGTGTGTGTCTTGTGTTTTAGTGGAAAATAGAGAGAAACGGTGAGTTTCCACTTGGAGAGCAGCTCTGGCACTAGAAGTTCATTTCTCATTAATTTACTCAGTTGAAGAAAATCTATAGTCTCACGATCTCGTGGCTGGAGGTGAGTCTTCCTCGGATTGTTAAATTATTGTGGCCGATCATTAAAATCTCTATTCAGAAAAAATATGAGATGTTTACTGTTTTTACTTTATTACCTCCGTTGAGGAGATTCTACTTTCAGGGTGTCGCTCAGAGAAGCTCGTCGATCTCCTACAGATGTTTTTCAACTCTCTCCACAGAGTTGTTTAAATGTCAAGCTTTTAAAGAGCGCGAGCGGAGTCGTCTGTTACCTGGTTACCACGCTGTGTGTCTATCTGACGGCCGAAGTGGGCAGACGTGTGTTATTTTGGGTTTGTGCAGCACCAAACTGGATGATGGTTGCTTGGAAACCTCAGGTGTTGATGGAACTATAATACCAGTGTTAGCCACGTCAGGGCTCTGAGCCACGTTAACATGTTTTCATCTCCATGTTGCCCACAGACGCAGTGGCTCCGCTGATTCCTGAGGCTGAATCGCCCCTCCACGATCGCGTGCAGCAGTACCGTCAGCTTCTGGATGGACTGCCCATGGACGCTTACACGCACGGCTGCATCCTCCATCCAGAGCTCACCATCGACTCTATGATCCCAAAGTACGCCACCGCAGAAATACGGAGTAAGTGAAGCCAGCTCGTCGTAATAACTCATAATGGAAACAGATTTTGTTGCTTTGAATCCATTATTCTGAACATTTACAGGCACTTGGGGTGAATCAGCCTCAAATTCAGGGACGAGCTCGTCTCCCTAAGCAGAAAACAAAAAATAAACGTCATGCCCGCAGAGCCGGTCATCGTCCTCACAGCGTTTCCCACAGCACGGACGAACCAATCCCTGTTTTTAAATGCGCAAGACAAGATTAGCATGCTGTATAAATTGATGCTGCTGCTCAATACTGAAAAGCCTTAATGCAGCACAGTGTAGCGATGCCAGGTTTGTGCTGCACATCACAGCAGGTATCCGTCCAGTCTCAGCTGCAGCGGTCAGACTACACGGACTCCTGCAGCAGAACGACTGACACAGTAAAACCCTGGTGTTGTAACTGTGAGATTAACCTGAACCACAGCCGACGACATGAGACACAAAGAGAGCATGGATGAGGAAACTTAGCTTCATGACAGCAGCTTTAGCACGTGTGTCCATGTACATGACCTCATAACGACATGTTATTAAAGTGACAGATTCTCCAGACTACACATGTACATCAGGACAGAACCTATAACAAACACGTGTGTGTGTGTGTGTGTGTGTGTGTGTGTGACTTCAGGACACTTGGCCAACGCTGCGACGGAGCTGATGAAGTTGGACCACGAGGAGCCTCAGCTGACAGAACCGTACCTGTCCAAGCAGAAAAAGCTCATGGTGAGTCACCGTGCGAGTCCGTGTAGCGCTCTCTCACCTCCGCACCGAGGGCGT